TGATAAAGATATTGAACAAGACTGGCCCCAAAACTGAGCCCGGGGAACACTGCCTGTGACCAGGCACCAACTGGATTTAACTCCATTCACCACAACTCTCTGGGCTCGGCCACCCAGCCAGTTTTTTATCCAGCGAAGAGTACGCCTGTCCAAGCCATGAGTCGCCAGCTTCCTTAGAATGCTGTGGGAGACAGTGTCAAAGGCTTTACTGAAGTCCAGGTAGATGACATCCACAGCCTTTCCCTCATCCACTAGTGACGTGGTTTAGCCCCAGCCAGCAACTAGAAACCAGGACAACTAGGCAGGTCACCAGGTCATAGAAGGAGATCAGGTTGGTCAAGCAGGACCTGCCTTTCAAGCATTTTGGATTAGATTACTAGATTAAACTTCTAGCCTGTGGTCCCTTCCATTCCGAAAGCTCCTATTCTTACCCAAGGTTCCAAAAATAGAAATAAATAAAATCTAATTCTCATGCCCCAAAACATGTCAATCTGCCACAATTCTTGCTGTACCTGGATTCTCAACGCAATAGCCCAATATTAACATTTAATACTACATATTTCATAGTATGAAACTCTTGACTATCAGTCAAAAAAATCAATCTCAAGAACAAGACTGCCTTCTTGTCAGAATGCCACGCTATGTTTATGAATATGAGGGCCTTCATATTACATAAAATACAACTGTTTAGTATCAAACATTCCAATTCACATCAAAATATTTAAAAACAGGTAGCAGTTGCAAGCAGGTTTATTTGCATTTCCATTTATCATCACCAACTCACCTGAGTTGCTACATTTAACAAAGCTAAACGGCCATTTTTTGAAATAGTAAATGACATAATAGGGTGATCTTCTTGTACTCTGAAATGATAAGACACATTAGTGTTAAGAGTACACTTAACCAAACAATGGTGTAATACCAAGACAAAGGCATGTCCTGTTTCTGTAATATTATCAGGGAAAGACAGTTCTAAATTTGAAATTAGGTATGTTGCTATGTCCGTACAAGCCAAGTCTGCAGTAGTTTGTTTATACTTATGACAAATCCCAAGACCAAAAGGGACTTCAGACCTCAAATCCAACTCCTAACTTCAAGGCAGGATCTACTAAAATATGCCAGGAATTGAGAAGATGACAACTCTTGATGACAGAAATGTCAAAACATCCACAAGAAACTTACTCCAGTAATTAAGTTATTTCTAATACTTGATCTAATGCTTCTTGCTGCAACTGGAACTCACTAATTCTTGTCCCATGTTATTCTCCTTTTAATACTGAGAGCATTTTAATAACTTATTTCCCATCCTGCTGCACAAACCCTTCCTCAATCATCTTCTGACACTAAGAACCAGGAATTCAAAACAAAAGAAAGGGGTAGTTACATGTTTCTGTCTGTAAGATCCTCAAAGTTATAACCCCGAATTCGCTGGTGCGTGTCTGATGCTAGAACAGTCTTCCCATCACTCAAGCACCAAAGGCATTGTACTCTCACCCCTTCCCAGGAGTCAAGGAGATTACCATCTAAATCCTGACCAGAAGAGAAAAAAAAAAAAAAAAAAAGAAAAAATATCAAACTGTTAGTCTCAGATTTCTGAGGAGTTGTGACACAAATATCTTTTTCACCTTCTGTTCAGACAATTGCTACAGAAAGCAATCTTACCCTGTAAAAGAGAAAACTTAATGAATTAGGACTTGGTTGTCTTAACCGAGGGCTTTTGTAGGTATCTGTCTTGGAGAGCTGAGAATCCCTTTCATCAATTATTTTCTTGTGTGTGACACATGCGACCTACATGATGTCACAAAGCTCACCTTTGCAGTGAGTGAGGTTTGCATATTGCACTATTATTCTGGGTGCCAATTCAGATGACATATAATCAAGGGTGGGGTGAGACTGTGGACCACCACCCAAAATCAACATTAGTCAAGTAATAAGGGTTTCAAAATTTCTGTTTACAGTAAGCAAAGACAGCATGCAAAAGCTAAGACAGACAGTCAAAATTCTGTGGAATGAACACTTGTGGACAAAGGCACTACTTTTTATTGGTGTATTTTCCAGAGCAGCTAAGAAAAAAATTCCCAGCCCACAAATCCTCCTTTAGGCAGACAAAAGATGCTTGAAATCTTCTAATTGCTACATACAGAAGTGCTGCTGAAATACTAGTATTAATGTATTGCTGCTTTGAATTACAAAGGATCAGAAGTTTTAGTGTACACACACATGAAAAAAACAAAAAAAAAAACCCCATGAACCTCAGATTTGACTGTGACAACACTTTCACTTCTTGCTTTGTTTTCAATAGGGCACATGCAAAGAACTTACACACTGATAGAACTGTCCACGCTGACCTCCCGTTACAAAACGCTTCCCATCAGGATTCCAGGCCACGCTTGTTAAACTGTCTTCGTGAGACTGGCTCATCTTTGTCCTCAGCTCCCCAGTCTGCAAAATAAACAAATGCAGAAAGGCCTTATACCAGAACCCTTTCCCAAAAAGGCATCAATAATTTTGTCATGCATACTGTTTGAAAGTGCATGTATTTCGACATGTTTATTAAAAAGCAACACAAACCTACGCATAACACAATAAAAAGGCAGAACTACTTCAGCACCTCCAGTGAGCCTGGACTTGATTTGGGACAATTTCTTTTGTCCCTCAAGTCAAGAGGGATAGACTAGTCTGTGTTTCAGACAACTGGAAGATTATGAGTAAAGAGAGGAATTAAAAGAAGTTGGAAAAACACATAAGAGAGAGAAGCAATATGAAATTAAAAAACCAAACATAGAAAGCAAGGGGGCAGGAGGAGACTAAAAGAAAATAGAGGTGACAAAATACATTTTAGTAAAAAGTTGGGAGTATCAGAGCATTTAGAACATTTTCCTCCCTGAGCTGTAGCTCTCCATGCCAAAATTTAGCTTTCATCCCTACCTTATAATGCTACTGTTTCACAAGACAGAGTGCCAATGAGTCACTTACCATTGTCAAAACAGCAAGGGCTTCTCTCTATTCCCTTGTGCCAGCTCTAGTGCTCTTCACTGAGCCAGTTTAGCCAATTAAACAGAATAAAAGTATTCCAAGGGTGAAAAAAAGGGAACATTTTTGTTTTAGGAAACTAAATTAGTTCAGAGTCCAAGGCAGCACAAGAAAGACTATACAGCCTGCAACTGAGGCAGGGGAAGCTTTTATATCAACTCAAGTGCCCATAAAAATCAACAGCAGAAAAGGATTTTCGAATTCATGGAGGAAATGGCAAAATGCCCTAGTGTATGACTGAAAGATGAAGTTCCAAAATCATAAATTTAAGCCTCTGTGGATCTTCCACTATCATCACTGGGAGGGTTACACAAAGTAAAAATAGCTTGTATCTTTCACTTTTGCTACTTGTTAAAATCTTCAATGAGCAATTGCTCCCCTTAAATGATAATTCTGCCCTCTGTTTCTCTTGATTAATTTACCATTGTTCTCTTCAGTAGCTCTCCAAGTTCCTATGGATTTATGCCATCCCTTCTCAGAAATGTCAGTAACCAGATACACTAGAATTGCTGCACAGTCCCAGCCACTTAGACTTGAACTCTTAATTTCAGTTCTGTACAAACTGAGTACAGAATCTGTAGGCAGCCATAGCAATTTTTAAACATGGGGGGCGGGGGGAATCAGTGTCTCTTCTTTACACTCACACCTTTGCACAACAAGTTTGTAGAAATCACTTATTTCATGCTTAACGTATTTGGATCTTGAAACAAAAGCAGTAGGCTGACTACAAAGTTTTATTTTTTACTCTTAGTCACCGCTTACTTGTACATTCCAGAGCCAAAGCTCAGAACAATCATCTGGGCCACAGGCAACAAGATAGTTGTCATCTGGACTCCAAGCAATATAAGAGACACCATATGCATGACCTTCTAACGTCTTAAGTAGTTTTAGCTGGTGAGTATCCTGAAACGAGAGAGAGTCTGTTGACACAATGCAAATGAACTCCTACTAGATTTCACATATACAGTGTGTCCAAGTACAGCATGGCAAGTTTGCTTTATGCAACTTAGCACCTGCATTTTACAAGACATATGAATAGGTTCTTTCTGGAAAAGCAGTTGCTAGTTTACAGAGGAGGACCATAAAATGAAAGCTTCAAAGTTTCAACATGCAAAACAAAAACACTTGTAAGTATCTTTGTTCTAATCTTACATGAGTCTGAATGTGGAACTCACAAAATACCATTGCGTACAGAGTCATACATTACACCACAGTTGCTTTAGTACTGAAGATTTCTGTAGTATCTAAGTCTCTCTACCTCTACTGGAATACAGAAGTACTATTATCCATATTTTACAGAATTAAGTTACTTTCTTAAAAGTAAAGACATGCTGGAAACCTGTTGTGGTTGAAAAGAGAACCAAAACCTTCAATGTACGCTGAGAATGGAAACCCTCCAAGTGCCAATGTTTTTATAAACTTGAGTGTATCTTGTGTGTGCTGCTCAAGAAAGAAGTTTTACAGAAAGATATTTTTAAAAGCTTCCTTGAGAGGTGTTCTTATTTCAGAAGTGTTGCCTACAGCAAGCTGTTGCATCTTTTCTGCCAGATTTAGTGAATGAAGCATACTTTGCACACGCAGAGTAACTTGTATCACCTTTATGCTACAACTGTTCTACTGTTGCCTTGTCAAAGGAATTTGACTTTCAAGCAGCTTATCAAAATAAACAGTACAACTAGATACTGTGAAACAACCATACACTGGCTTCCTAAATACAGAAACATGCTTCAATACAGTATTAACACTGATTCTTGACAACAACATGCATATACAGAAAGTAGAACCGAGCTTGTTAAGCTGTTGACAATTTTTGTGAGCCTCTTGGAAAAGGGCAAGTGGATTCCCCCCCCTCCTTTTTTTTTCCTGCATGGGGGATGTTTACACCTCCTACTTCTCTTCAAAAAGAGTGACTCATTTGAAAATCTAGCTTGATTTCTCAAATTGTCCCTTCTTTCTTTTGCTTTAGTATTAATCAGCAGAGCACCTCTTGATTCTAAAGAGAAAGAACACAGTCAGAGGAACAGAGTGACACAAAGGACTGTTTCCTCAGATCAGCTGCAAAAGATTTGGTGACTCTCAGCCAGCCTGCAGCTTTGATGGTTCTGCTGGCTAGAAAGACTAAATTCCTCAAAAGAAAGTGGGCTAAGAATAATCTTCAAAGCACAAAGAGGGGCAAACGAATGGACCTCCTCAAGGCCCCTTTTCCATTCTAATTATTATTCCTGGTCTGCATTAGACACTGCTGTGTCTGTAGCTAAACTGATCTGCAAGGAAACTGCATCATGTCTGACATCATCTCACATCCTGGAGCTTGCCTGCAACTGATGTATTTCTTTTTATGTCAGGATTAAAGTAGCCTGTCACTTCTGCATTACATTTGAGACTCATGAGGAGCAAGATACCTAGGATATGCCTCTTTTAATGATGGGACTTTGTGGCTGTTACTCTCTCTCATACTCTTCTCCAAATACAGCAAAATTGCTGTACCATATTTTGCTCTAAAACACCAGTCAATAGTATTTCAGGAAAACGTCCCCAAATTTAGTCAATCTGCTTCCCACCCACCACCAAAAGACATCTCAGCACTTCTGTCCCCTACATCTAGCTTCCTAGGTTTTTGTTATGTAGAAGAAACAACTATTCAGGTATCAACTTCAGCCTGCAGTAGTTGAGCTCCTTGGCTGAAAAGTCAAAAACCTGTCAACAGTTTTTAGAAAGTGCAGAAAAAAAGAAGGTTTCTGTAAGGAACAAGTTAAAGGAGAGCTCTATCAAAGAAGATGTATGCCAGACAAGGTGATGCGCCTACTGTGCTTATCCTTTGTGCTCTAAAGATTCTGCCACACTTAGTAACAGTCAAATAATGCATTCCACACACAAACCTAGTTCACTCAAGACATTATTTAATGCCGCTGAGACTGCATAAGACCTTTGAAATGAACAAATGAAAATGAAAACAGAAGCATGGGTTCAGACAGCTTAGACATGTAGCTGGGTCTTAGAAAAGAAATCAGAAATTCATGGTATGCAATGAAGAAAATGCATGGAAGCAGTGTCATTACACTTCAAGAGGGGTGATGAAGAAAAGAAAGGGAGAAATGAAGAATACTGTTCATTTAAAACAGTATTCTCCCATCACTCACCCAGAGTTGGACAGATGTTTTCCTGTAGTTTATATATACAGATTAGAATAATTCTAAATACCTAAAGCCTTGAAAACCTGATTAAACTTATGGTTCAAAAGACATTGTCAACTACTACAGGAAGTGTGAGAAGCATGCTCTGGCAAGTATGAAAATGAACCACTTGAGTTATGTGGCCTAATGTTACTTAGGCATCCATCCGCCTCCTTGAATGGGTTTGGGTTTTTTTGTTTGTGGTTTTTTGTTTGGTTTTTTTTTTAAAGTACTCAAATACAGAAGATAAAACTCTACAAAGCTGCTTTCCCACTACCTATTTATTAGGGATTTTGTTCCTTTAGCAAGCCTTGGCCAAAAGGGTTAGTCTAAAACACTCACAAAACATTTATTTGGTTTCATTAGCCAGATATTAGCTAACAATTCACTACAAAACATGCTAATCAAGATGTTGAGTATTAAAACCCATCAATATAAAAGGAAGCTGTACCTCTACAATCAAGTGACAAGTCAATAGCAAAAACATTTGATCCTTAATTTACTTAGAATGACTCTGTTTAAAAAAAAACCCAACCAAAAACCAAACCAGATTATTTCCTAAATAAATAACAGAAGTCAGCTTATGCTGCTATGCATCTCTTGGCCCAGAGTACACTGGCTCCAGTAATAAACAAACCATAATGGTTCTACGCCTGAAAAATCCACAGCACTTGCTGTTAGTTAGTTAGGCTGTGTAACAACTATGCACATGGAACAGGGTTTTAAGTTCTCCCATCTTCTTAATAGCAAAAAGGACTGAAATTATATGGCTTCCTAACCTGTAGTGGAAGAAAAGGATTAAGTCCAGATCTCAAATCCTACTGAAAGCCAGTATGGAATTGCAAAAACCTTTCATGTTCCACTTAGCATACCAGTTTGCAGTTCTGTGGTTAAAAAACTGTAAGAATCTTATTTCTGATAGTGTTTTAGAAGCATTAACAACTTCAAATATTGTGTGCATATGTTCAAGTTTATTCGCCGTTTTCAATTGCTATGAAATACAAGGACATACTTTTGTATCACTTCTACAAGTCAATTAAAACAGTCTTAGATTCACCACTCAATCTTTTTATTTATGTAAGAATAGATATGGGTAGGAAAGATAAATCTTGTAGCTGTAGGATATTTCATATAAGAGAAACAGTGTCAGATATTAGTATCAAAACCTAAAAACACAGTCTGTAAGAAAATGGCTGGGTATACTTCCATGTGTCAGCGGATTCTGACAAGTGTTTAAATCTTCATCTCAAGTCAAGGCAAATCTTACAACAGCAACTAGCATGAAGTGGTATACTGATACAACTTCAGTTTAGCACATACCATTTTATTACTCAGAAATAAAGTAAGAAATGGTGAAATGGATAGAGTATTTAAATTCAAGTGTACTAGTAGTAACAAGATAACAGAAAGGGGTTAGTCACATACATAGGTCAGAAGTACTCTTACTAAGAGTGATTTAGAAGAAAGGTTCCTCACTGCCATGCTCCTTCCACTCTCACCTAATGCTTCTCAAGGACTTCAAGCTGAGAAACTCCCCTGGAGGGCACCAGCAGGCTCTACCACATGGTACTGGCTAGGGGTACACAAAGTTCCTGCCTCGAAGCAGCCAACAGTTCAAGCCTTACACTCAGGCATCAGGTTTTCAAGTGTCCTTCACTAACTTACACTGACTGTGATCTTCAGTCTTTTACATCTAGAGAAATACCCTAGTCAGCACACTACAGTACATGTTAGCCTGTCCTACAAAAATCAAACCATCCTAGCAAGAGAAAACAGATAAGGAAGGGGAAGACAAGTCATACACATTTCAACACATTGCACACTTACTGGATCAACCTGCCATATAATAACAGTTGTGTCCTTAGATCCTGTTGCTAGTTTAGTGCCATCATTGGAGAATTTACAGAACCACACTTCATTACAGTGCTCCGTTAGTATCTGCTGTGTATAGCATGGGAACTGTTTCCTGGGAAAAGAAAGGGATGTATTCGCAGATTAATAAGAAAGCAATAAGAGATTTTTTTTTTTTAAATTGAGCTAGTAAAAACTAAACAAAACACTTATTTAAATGCAAGACCAGACAACTTAGAAAATTTGTCTATTAACAGCTGCTTCAAATAAGCACAGAATGAAGTACCTTATCTGGCCAAAAGCTCACACCACCAAGTGATCATAACTAATTGTAAGCACTTAGAACTATACTCGTTCTACTCACATAATTAGTTATGCTTTCATATAACTTGGAATAAAACTGACCTCATTAAGAGTGTAACAGCTTATTACCATACACTTCTATGATGTATAGAAAACAATGGAGTCCAAACCTCTTTGAACCCTACGTGCAATGTTTTATTTACATGTGACGTTTTTGTAAGTACCTAACTCACTTAGCTGTATCTTGCCAAATCTTTAGAAACGATTCTTACATGAAAGTTGAGTAAAAGAATAGTCTTGTTTCTTTTTCTTGAATGTGATCTTGCAGTAAATTAGATGTTTCTTTGCCTTCATTTTGTGCCATTTTCACTTTCTTTGCAGGTACCACATACAATAGCTAAGCATAACTAACATGATACCATTATGAGCTTTCAACTTGAACTGTTTTCCCTCACAAAATCTATGTTATTTTGCAGAACATTAAGTGTTTATCAAACAAAATTTTATATGATAAACTACTGAAGGAGAAGAGTCAAACATTTCTCTAGAGCTAATATTTAATCTTCTAGTTACACACTGAGGAAAAGCTAACAGTCAAACTATTAAGTTAGGTAAGAACTGGAGACAAGTTTTATTTTAGTTACAGCTTGCCCACTGTATAATAATTTGAGAGCTAAGCTAAAATAAATGTAGGCTTTTACAGCAGATGACTGCTTTTGTAAGTAATACTGCAGTTAACTACAAGTTCATTGTTCAGATGCACTAAAAGGCAGTCTCTGACCACAGACATTTTTGCTTGAACTGCAGGGATCCTGAAGTGGTTTAGTCTTATGTTGAGTTTTTATGGTGCTCAGTGCAACACAACTCTGACAGGACACAATGGTACTAATGTAACAACAACAGTCTCTGTGAATGTACAGTTGTACTTATCACAGATAAACTGGCCTAAAAAAACAACCCACAAACCAAACTATTTCCTTTAAATTTGTGTTTAAAAGTACAGTTTGGTGGTAGCCAGGCTGACAGACACCTGAAACTACTTCTTACCAGCAGAAGCTAGAAAATGTTCTGCTTAATACCGTGTCTATATCCTCTCAATCCATTTTCTTTTACTAGAAGATGCTTCCTAGTCCACGCTTAAAGTCTACCGAGCAGCACTAAACCACCATACATCCCTCATTTCCTGTCTTATGGTAGAGGAGGATAAACAAAATGTACATATACATATCTGTAGTTGGCTTCCTTAGGAATGTCTACTTACGCGTTTATAGAGAAACACAAGTCTGTTCTGCTCCTGCTTTAAGCTGACCAGGAGCTGTCTAGTTGCCATTGGAACACTGAGCCCAAGGTAAAAAGCCCCACCCATGAAAGAAGACTTTGTTTTCCTTGAAGTCTAGAGGGAGGTAGGCAAGCCCTTACACAGATATGTGCACCTACAGGAAGAGTGTTTCATTATTATTTAGACATATTGTAATAAGTTAATGTTTTTCCTCAGAGCAGCAATTTGCTCTAGAAGGTGAAAGAGTCTTTATCCATAACTCATACAAAGTACAAGGGGCACACTGTGTCCCAAGAAAGCCTTTTCAGCATATTTCTTTTTTTTTTTAAAAAAAAAAAAAACCTCCATAGAACAATAGTGCTTGTATTTTAAAGCTGAAGAAAAGCAGCCAAGGTTTTGTAGACATGAAAAGCAAGCAGCAGAATGCTGGAGTTCGCAATTTTCATAGTACGGTGGCCTTTAGGTTCCTAAAAAAGGTAACAGGCACAGTTGATATAACTGCTGCAGACACATCCCAATGCTGAACTATGCTATTCACAATCCAGTCAGTTCAGAGCACTCTCACAAAAAGTCCTCTTCACTTAACTAATGAAACACACAACCCAGCAAGTTTGACCTCACAGATAGCATAGCATACATTAAATAACCCTTCTGCAGAAGGAAATAGCAGCAGTCTTGAAACAAGAAACCAAGAACAGTTGTCTAACAGTTTCTGATTTTGCTAATTAAACATTATTGTAGCTCAAAGGTTTTTCTTTTTTCTTTTTTGAAGTGTTTCATTACAAATTGTTCTGTTCAGCACAACACACAAATCACGTTGTTCACATACTGAAATAAAGTATCTAATAACATTATCTGTTGTTGTATTTACAGAAGTTCAAAATTCTAAATAAAACAAACAGCTACTTTTTTATTCCCTGTACATACAATGGAAGATTTATTCCTCAACTTCCACAACTGTTCTTTTTCAAAAATGCTACATTAAACTAGTGCCTAGAAAGCAGCAGCATTCACCTCTCATTTGGGCTTCACTGTTTGTTCATAAACTCAGACTAAAGATTATTTACATGAAAGCAAGACAAAAGAATTTCAGGATGGGGGCAGACGGGGATGGACCACCAAACAAAACACCCAACTAGGCTCTCAAAACCAAAAATGACCACCCCATGAGCATCAATTCTCTATTATCAGTCTCAGGCACAGTAAGATGAAATCCCTCACCTTCACTCCCAGGAGTCTCTCAACTCTTATCTCCCACTCCTATGAAGTGATTAAGTTTTAGTTAAACATTTTACCTATTAGTGAAATTCAAGCATGCTTGATCAAAATATTGCCAGAAGTCCAAAACAGATTAGTTCCAACTAAAAAAGGGAAAGTTGTCAGTGTTCTATCATTTAAGTAGTACAGAACTTAAATTGTCTAAGCTATTAGACTACTGTTACTTCTGTCAATTTAATCAAAATTTGGCTTCCACTGTCTTTAACTCACCTCATTATGCCCAAGCATGGCAGCATGTACAGCGCACCACATACTGATCTCAGACCCCTGCAATAGGTAGGTACAATAGGTTGAGTTGAGGACAGAATGGAAGCCTTTATTTTGAAGCCTTTATTTTGAAGTGGTTTTTTATGGAATTCAAGTAGTTCTGAGTATGTATGTATACATACCAAATATGCAAGCTTAGAAAGTACCGCATTAGGTTGGGGGAAAAAAAAAAAAACAAACCCCAAACAACCCGATCTATGGCCAAACTTATGTCAGCAAATATTCAGATGGGTGAAATTCAAATCCAGATTTATTGCATATAGTATCTTTTATATCTGGCTCTAGCTAGTCTGACTTCAGTAAACCATGCTCTTTACAGTTGGCTTGAATCCTCTTTGAGGTTTGATTAATCATATCAAACCCCTACAGAACATCCAGTGTTATTTATGGACTTGTAGAAAGACTGAAGTTAAATCTCTTCCCATTAGTCTAATTTTAAGACTCACTTCTGAAGTAGGGAAGTCACAATTCTAGTATTGATAGCTTCCAATAGCTCTTAAAATGGGGAACAGTCAAATGTCTGTTGCCGTAGTTTCTTTTGTGCGTGCACAATGTGACAAAGCAAAAGTGCAAGCTAGACAATAGTCTAAAAAAGTTACTTGAATACATGAAGTGCCAAGGATATTAATTTTAAAATCTTAAGATGGCTACAGTGAAGTACTATGGAAGTCTGTATCTTTAAAAACAGATTCCAAGTAACCCAAGAACCTAAGTCAAAGCAGCTGAGTTCTGAAAATTTCTATAAGCAAGTTTATCAGTACTTAACTTCCTCAGATGGGCTAACTTTAACATGAAAAAGAATTCCCTTGTAAGCCCAAGCGTTGACCTGTTACGTGAACAAACATATAAGGGTATCATATATAGCCTTTATTTTCTAGGTGTCTTAGCCCTCATTTCCTTATTACACCATGCACAGCAGTTTTCCAGAAAAGCTACACTGAGTTTTTAGGTCCTTGGCCAAGTTCTGCTGGATGAGAAAAACAAAAACACTCAAGTCAGCCATTTGTTACAAACGTCGTCCTGCTTCATGTCTACTAGAGTATGGCATTTTGAAGATGTCAGAAGCAGCATTTTTTGTTAAAAAAGTTTTAGTGAGTCTTAAGAGCTAGTATATAGGTATAAGAGACATTCAATTCTTACCACCTTACAAATCTGAGAAAATAGTTCTTTATATCACTCATATTATACATTATGCAAAACCGGAATGTCTACTGCACATTTCTACTCTGTTTTAACCTTTGTGTCTGAAAGCACCTCACTGTCCACTATTAAAAGCTGAAGCTGAAAGTTGACTTCATGAAATATGCTTTAGTAGGCTTTCTGCGTTCCAGCAAGCTTGAAGACAGTCTCGATAAGTAACATCCTAGTGATTCTTCAGTGAAAAAACACAACAATTGCATATTGATGAACAGACTGGCTGTCCAAAATTACAAGAAACAAGTGGCTAAGGATTAGCATAGTAATATATTCTATTCATACCCATCTGACTGAAATGTCAAAGCTTCAGTCTGACCCCATTACCCCATATCCAGCTACCAGTCTCTTATACACAACTTCTCTATTCCCCCTGCCGCTACTTATTTAATGAGAACTGTCTTTTCCCAGTCAACTCCTGTTAAACTAACTCAGAATAGTTTTCCTGTTCCTTTTAACAGTAGGTGCAATTAGATTATTTTAAAAGACAAAGAAAAGATATTGTTGCCCATCTTGAAAGTAGCAAGTGTTTCTTACCTACTACAAATGTGATCTATTAGCAGCGAGACAGAATCTAGATTACTATCTAGTTTGGTATTATGATATAGGCACCGGTCCCGTTGTAGTTCCACAGCCTGACGTAGCAGGTTCTGTAAACGCCTTGGAGGAAGCATCACTGATGGGGGTAGGTAGGCTTTAAGAGAGTTATTAAGAAAAACAAAAAAGATATATCAAAACCAAGTTACAAGCGAGAGCATATTTTGATATGAGTGTTTTTGGAAGAGACCTTAGTAAATAGAGCTTAAAAGCTACAGGAAAAGAGTGCACACAGCTTGTCAAATTTACAGCTGTACATCTGGAATTACAAGAATGAACTTCTTGAAAGCAGAGCTGTATGCAAAGTATTTGTAGTTATAGTGTATGTTGTCCTGGCCAACAAGCACCATTTACATGGGCTAACTCAAAAGCTAGTATTTAACAAAATCTGTAAAATTAAGCACAGTTGATAATTGTTTTGTAAGGAATTCTCTATTAACGCTATCAAAATAAAGAATACCATAGGTTTTACAACTCTGATACATAGTATTACACCAGCCACAAGAAAGAGAAAGGAGAAACCATAATTCATAGCAAAGTCTGAGACCACTATAAGCCAGTACTAGTATCACCAGTGGTTATAGGCCACCCTTAGTTTCAACCTCTTAGTATAGCTGGCATTTACAAACCACTCCCACCGCCCCCCCGCCCAACCACACATTTAATCATCAAGTTATACTATTACTGCATGCAGCAGAGCTAAGAAATTGGAGCTCCTATTACAAATAGTTTATCAGAGACAGCAAAAGGTTAGATACAGAAGACCAAAGGGTAAAGGCACCTAAAGGCATCCCCATTAACCAAGAAATAGAAAAACAACAACTGGCAAATGCAGTTAAAAAGTTAATTCCCTGGGATACGTCATTATGTAAGATGTACTGGATTTACAGAGGTGGGAATAAACTCTAAACACTAGAACATCTTACTCTGGAGTTTGTCCAAAAGTTTAGATCTGGAAGCTGTTCCTTTCCCTTCCCACTCTGCTTTTGCACGCAAGTCTTCGGCATGGCTACACATCAGATACCTGTTTAAAGAAGTGCACACACACCAACAGACCAAGTCTTTCTGGAATCATTCTTTTCACTTTTCAACATGATCTATATCATAACGTTCTTAATGAACTGGAAATAGGTGACTTAAGCTTGAGGCCGATAGGAAAAAAGGCAGGGAACTATTCCACACGAACACACATCTTCTTCAGAACAAATGTCTACAAATTGGCAATAGAAAAACCACAACAAACAGATTTTAGGAAACCTAGAAATGTCTTATCTTCATCTAAGAACAAACCAGACTACATTCACCTACTTACTCAATTATAAGATAACAGGCTAATAATTTTCAAGATCAGAGGACCATACATGTGTATATATTAATTCAGGTTCTAGTACTATAAATCATAATCAGGTTATTTTCAAGCATCTGAAATAGAACACTGTCTACTGAACAGTCTTTTTTACTCACCATTTTAGCATATCTCACTACAGCTTATTAATCAACAGGATAGTAGCTTTAATACAGTTTGATTTTTTACAATGAGCTATAAAAAGCTACAGAATTCCTTAGAAAATTCCACCAAAAGAGCTCTCAAAGTCCGAACACTTACCCACTGAGGACATGAATGCGTTCTGTATTATATTTCAGAGGTGTCAGTTCACAGCGTAGAACTTGAAGTGCCTCCAGGACCTTGCCATCCTCCAGGTATTCCAGGTACTTCTGCTGCAGCAGCAAAAACTTCATCCTCTGACATGACAGAAAGCAGCAGTCAGGGGAAAAAGGTTGACTGAAGTTTCAGAAAACGTTTGAGCCTAAACAGAACAGTAGAAACCATTCTACTATGCCCTTCAGAAATACAGCTATATGTAATGTTTCATTACTCAATTTCTTTTTGCTGTGTTTTCAACAACTTTGCAGCAATTATCCATGAATTTCCTTCCTGCCTTATGGGGCTTCAAGTATCTTCCTACATCACGTCTCAGATCCCCCCTTCAACTTGTCTCATTTTCATACTCACTCCCTTTTCAGTCACTGTTCTTCAAACTCTGAATTAGACAGGCTTCCCAATCTTACATTCTATCAAGAAAAACACCCAAAAGCAGCTAATCACATATTCAAGACTGCATGACAGCACAGAACACAACAGGCCAACTCAACAAGTTCTCATACTGCTTACATAGGAGCTGACATTGATTGTTTGCATAGCTGCATAACATATAGTAATAACAAATTGACACTGCCTGAGGTTTTGTTTTGTAGTTCCATGCTAAGTTGTTTTCCTTGGGTGTTGTATCATGTTTCAGGGTTACAGAAAAAAATATTGTTTCCTATATTTAGGAATGGCTTCACTTCTCAGAAGTAATCACTGCTATTTCATGGTGTTCCTTTCATCTTGTACAGTGTTTGGTTGCTTTCTTTTAAAAAAAGTAATCAAGTCTGCTATTCTAACAACAAAAGTCTGAGGATAGAAAGAGAAAAATCAGGCATTCATTTACTATATTCAAAACCCTGTACTCCTAGAAATTTCTAACACCGATTTATTAGAAACACAACCAACGGTTGTTTCTGGATGAAACCAACTATTCTGTGTTTGCACATCTTTACTGCTAGCAGTTATGAAAGAGAAGACATTTCTGGTCCACAAGATTCACCAGGTTGAAGAGAAAAATGTACATTCTTAGACATATCAGTTGGAAACAGAATGAAGATTAAGCATAGCATATTACATTTGCTTTTCTAATGAATATACCACCAGTTCAATCACGCATTTCCTTTGCTTTGTCAGACCTCAGGCACCTCACTATTTTCATGCTCATATTTGGTCAATGTTTACTCAGTTTCAAACACACTGCCAGCCTCCTTAAGTAGAGGGATAATCAGGAAGTTTAAGGATGCTCCTGTCCTATTAAAGCTTACATGAAAGTTTAAGGCTTACTGTAAGTAAAAGCCAAAGTTAAAAGATAAAGCAGTTTTAGCTTCCAGAGATGTTCAGTTCTGCAAAAGAATAGAGTTTCCACATACAGTGCTATTAACTTACCACACAGCTTTGTGAAGCATAAAACATTACATAGTAAAGATGATTTATGTTCAAACATGTCTGAAGTACTCTACCGCCCTGTACGTGACAGGCAAACCTGTATTACATTCCCTATCCAGCTCTTTAGCTTATTTGAATTTAGAACTGTTAGAGCATCACTGTACAGTTTTTCCAGGTGAGACAACATTTTTTGGTGTTCTGACATGCAGAAAACCAAAAGAAAGATATCCCAATTATTTACAGCCTCAGTGGTTGGTTCCATGCAGTAAGCCAGCAGACTTCATGCTGTTTGCTTACATACTAGCAGCAGGAGGGATAAAAGCTTCCTCTCCCAGCTATGCACGTGCTCACAAGGATGCACGAAGATGCTCAGGTATAGTAGTCACATACCGTATTTCACTCCTCTTGGCCACCTTGCACCTTGAATGATCACCACCAAATAAAAAAGTCTGATACTTCCAGTTTGTAATAAAAACTATAGTCCCTCCAACTCTTCCTTCTCCATTCACTGCATATAATATTTATTAAGTTTCTATCATCTTTCCCTCAAAAATGGTAACTGCATCTGTATCTAATTACTCTTCCTCCCTCCCTACTTTTAGGACTTGGCATGCTAATTTCATTTCTTTAGGACAAAAAGTAAAAAGAACAGAAAACTCTAAAAAACAGTTTTTGTAACACCAGTCCCAACAATTCCACAGAAGCATTACAGTAACGCTAACATGCAGAACGCTGTTGCCAAGTTATCCAAAGAGGTATAACTTCAGTTTAGGGTTAGAAAGTATAATTTCCAAAGAAAATTCATCAGTGCCACATGTGACTTTGGCATATTAGGAATATAAAAGCCTCCACAACAGCACAGTACTGTACACTTCATGCAGGAGTTAACATCTGCTGTTAACATAATGGAGGATTAGAATAAAAGATAAGCAGTTTTAAATTGCAACTTATCTATAGCAAAAGGCAGTGAAGTGTTGATAGGGAAATTAAATTGATTTTCTAAGCTATTTGGATAACTGCTCCAAAACTTGCCCTACAGGATACTCAAACAATGGCATGAAAACAGCCTCCTTAAGGCAAAAGTCACACTCCAGTGACATCATATTTCAAGTCCTTTTTTTGTATCAGGACACTCATGGCCTCCTACTACTTGTTTTTGTACAACTGTTGACTTTGCTGACAGATTTCACTGAACAGCTGAATTTTGTCTTAATTTTCTCTGAACTACTTATATGCCCTACTGATAGTGCTGCTAATTACTTCCAATACCACCTTTGCATGGTAGACAAGACCATTTTGAGTACATCATCTCTTCTAGAGCCCAAACAACCTCTTCTAGAGGGAAAGAAAACTGTTTATAATTTGGCAACTGTAAAGTTCCACTATTTGAGTGGAATAAAGCGAGTATAAAACTAATCTGACACAACGCACCGCCAAGAACAGCTTACTCATTCTCCATATTCTTTAGCTGCCTTCCAAAGAAGGGAAATAAAAATTATCAGAATCCAAATTATACCATGTACAACATAAGAGAAGTGCCTGGGATTTGTCATTATCATCTCAGTGTTTGCCATGGAAATTCAACATCATTACACTCTATACTGTTGAACAATTTAAATCCAGACGCCACTATTGCTTAGCTTTTAGCAAAGATTCTTCACCCTGTAGGACCCATGGAAGAGTCCAATACAACAGTTTCAGCACTGCAGTCTGGCTGGTTTTGTTCATTTATCACTACCTCATCCAGTCTTTCAACTCTATAGAGAGGATGAGGATAAAGTGCATTACTTCCTTGTTTCTAGAAGCTATTATTTAAGTGTAAGTTGAACCTCTCACCACCCTGGGGCAAAACTAAGACAGAGTTAATACATTTACAGGGCTTTTTGTTTTAATGTATGTACTATTAGCATTTTGCTTTCTTCAAACTACAGCTTTCGATTACCAACATGAATGTTTAGTACTTTACTCCTTCATTGTCCTAATTAGTTAGTAGGAAAGCCCCTTGAAGAATTCTAGTAAGTTTTGCACGCACCATAATTCACCAGCACTAAGTGACCAAAGGGGAAAGCCTCAGCAACACAACTGTAAAAATAATAGGACAAGCATCCTACCACAGGCAAGAAATTGGGCCATTTTTATCACTGGTTACAGTAGCAAGTCTTCAGACATTTAAGCAGTAAAATGCATACTAACCTAATTTTAGGATTAGATTTTGGTGTTATTTTTGACCTGCATATCTTAACAAGCTCCACAACAGTTTCATTATTGTACTAAGAGTTCAGAATAAATAAGTAAACACTGCTGAAACAACTCTTCTTTGAAATGAAGAAGGTAACTAAAAGACATGCTGAAATTATCAGCTGATGTTTTAAGACAAACTCACCACACTAGCTATCTGCTTATAGCTTGCAGAACAAAGACCCCAATTTTCATTACTTTGATAGTCTTGTAGAACACTGATAAAAGCACTTAAAAGCCATCCAAAACTTAAATGTAAGATTTGATATGTAAACGGCAGAAAATATTCTGGCCTAGAGAATTTAGCAAGGCTTCAACCATACCAAATCCTGTCACTTAAAGAGTAATTCATTCCAATAAGGAACTGCCCTTAATGCTGGTAGCAAGAGGGACACTGTACAGGCAGGTGGAGCACTTTGCTCAAACAACAAAATACAAATCACTTTTTTTGTTGTATTGCCTGCCTTGGTCTGTATACCTCCACAACTGGGGGAAAGCCCCATTTAAGTAAAAAGTAAAGAGGACAATTTGGAAGTATATTCTAGATGACTTTAGAGGAACAATCTCCAGATGTCTTCCTAGGTTCAACCAGTAACCTAAGATAGATGCCATAATATGCTTGAGTAGCCCTGAAGCAAGCAAAACCTTGGGCTGGCTTGAAGCTGATATTTTCTAAGCATTACTCAAGGAAAAATAACATGCTTGAATCAACTATAAAGTTTTCCTACAGTTTGTCTCAAGACAGCTGTATCTTATATGCTGGAAAAGTAAACACGACTAATTGCACACTATACAGCACTCAGTTGTGTTGACACAAATAGAAATAGCAGACTGTCGTCCCCGTCCCCACCCCCAACATATCAACACACAGCATCAAAGGTTTACAAATTGAGATCAGCCATTTCATGTTTAGTGTTTTCACCTGTAGAACTTACAGCACTTTGCAGAAATAAGGAAATTAAAACAGGAGTAGAATTTTCAAAATATATGCATATCCCCTTCACTGACCAGATATTTCAAAAGCAGCTATATAACCTGGTTATTTTGTCCAGGTCATATTAATGACAAGAAAAAAACCCCACCAAAACCCAAACAAACCACAAACCAAAACCAAACCACCAGACACACACACACACCCCTACTTTGTTAAATACTCTGTGTCATCTAAACTTTTAGAGACCCAATCTTCTTGTACGCACACATTTTTGAAACATCTAGTCATACAGTATGAGTCACAAGTCAGGAAACCCAAAATCTAATTTTCTGTTTTTGAAGAGTTACCTGCATCAGCATCTTGTTTGGACTTTCCCTAATCAAGACATTTATCGTCTTCATCTGGCTCTGACTGTGTTGCAGTTGGGATTACCTACAGAGCATAAAGCATCCCTCCTTACCTGTAATGATCTTTCACTAGTTTTCTGGGTGCTGACTATACTAATACCCACCCACAATCACAACCATGTACAAAAAAAGCTGGGCGGGGAGGGAGGGAGAAGACAGCACGCACGCAATAGAGCACACATGAGCTCAACTTATCCTTGCAAATCAGTATTGTCTTACTAACACACACAACACAAGACATTTAATACTGTTATCTGTTTTAAATTATATGAAGTTTATATACGGGAGAACAACTTTAAAAAGAAAATAGTTTCTATTTGGTTCAGGTAAAGTTCAGTCTAAACCAAGTATTATTATTAATGGTTATTGCACGACGTTTTATTCAAGCAGTTAGACATCAGCATTAAAGAAAGGCACGCTTTCAGAGCCCTCCAAAACAACAGAAGGAAAATGTCCCCTTTTTCCTCAAATTAAGTTCTCCAAAAAGTAAAATGCTGATACTCAGTTAAACCTCTTGACTCCCACACAGGTAAAACACTTTAATACTACAGATAAACTTGACAACTTCAGAAGTTAGAAACATGAAAAAAGTCTGCTTCAAATGACTATTTATATTCGCACACAGTGGTTTCATACTTCCAGTCTCCACAAACTATTGAAAGCTGCATGCAATATTCTGAACTATTCGAACAGTAAATTCTATGTATATCAAGTCTTTGAGAAAAGAGAAAGTGAACTACTAGTCTAATTAAGAGGTGCTAAGCTTTGACCAAATTTATAGAACAGAATGTAAACTTCTCTCAAGTACCCTCTGATGTTTTGTTAAACATCTGGTTTTCCTACTTCACTTCCTGTTCTCTCTTTCTCTCCCTCCCCCACCAGACAGGAAATTGTCTTGACAACAAATGAATCAGCTAGAAGTGGAGCTAAGCAGCCATCAGCTGATTCTTCATTGTTTACAGTCACAGACACTTCAAAAAGCCTTGCTACTGTGTTCTTTCTAAGTGACTGTAGTTGTTCTAACTTCATTTCATTAAAATAAACGTTTAAACACAACAGAACAAGCCGTTTGAAGAGTTAAGTAATGACTTCCATCTCGAGATAGAAAAAAATCAAACCAAGAAACACTTTCCTCAAAGTAACTGAAATTGTAACAACACATATTGTAATTGTCAAGTCACAGGATCTACCAACCTTTTGTTTCTAGGTTCACCTTAAAAAAAAAAAGCCAAAGAGAAAAAGCTCCAAATAAAATCCCAAACAGCAATACAAACGCATTTGCTCTTTAGATGCCATCTGGAAAGGCAACAGTATTGTTCATGGTCTACAGCAGCCTCTATGTGCTTGTAATGTGCTATTACAGTGCCAACTCCACATCAGTATTACTGCATTTTATTTCTAAACTTCTCTTCCCTCAAGAAAACCTAACTCACATAAACGCAGAGATTGTGACAAGTATTTCAAGTTTGAAATTAGTATTCAACAACATAGGCAGTTTCTACAGAAACTGACCTATTTTAGGACTGTTAGAGGATTTATATTTTATCAGTTAAGTATGTTTAACAAAGTTTAAACACTCAGTACACCAAATATTAGCCTCAATACTTTTGGGCTTCCTATCTCACATTCTAAAAAAGAATTAAAAAGTTCAGATTAGTATGACGTTTGAGATAGCATGCAAGCCGCTTAAAGTAAACAAAAAAGAAAACAAGAACTGTGGACAACCAACTCCATAGAGAAAGATTACACCACTACAATTAGTCCAACTATACAGCTCTGAAAGGAGTTCAAGTGTGCCTCTTACCACAATTGCATGCGGAGAATGCACTAAGGCCTTAAGTTCATTCAGGTCGTTCTCAGCCTGCAGAAATCGGCATAAGAAAAAAAAAAAACAAAACAAAAACCAAAAAAACAAACAAAAAAGTATATAAGGAGGGTGGATTTTGAATTCTCTCACAGATACTATAAATTTAAACAGTGGTTAATACAGTCCTATAAGCCCTACGTTACCTTATCCCATTCTCCTTCCATGACATGATTGCGGAATTTGGTAGCAGAAGGATGTTCTAAACGACATCCTGACTCTTGCATGAGAAGATCAACAGTCTGGCTGCAGGAGAGATACAGTGTAAAAAAACCCGACCAGTTTTACCCTCACAAATATACCGCCTGCTATGATAACAGTTAACCATATTTAAAAGTAACTTTATTAAAAGTAAGAAAACTATGACCAGATTCAGGTGTTTGTCCAAAAAGACTATCTCAGTTGCCTGAGACATGTAAACAGCTACCTATATCTAAAGCAAGTTGTCAATGAGCTTGAAAGCTTTGCTGAAGTACCATAAAGTATGTGACTTACCAGCCACCACAAACAGCCATCCCTGCACAGAAGATAAACTTCATGAAGGAAGATACAGACTAGAAAGCTGTTAGCTACTGGCTACTACTCCCTGCCCCCTCCCTCCCCGCCCATAAACGAACATGGAGAGCTCCTACATCTGCAACAGGCCTAACTTTTTCTTGTTCATCACATATTAAAACACTGGGTCCTTAAAATAAAATAAACAAACTCATGAACCTGTAGCCCTTCCCCTTTTACACTAAAAATAGCTTATTTACTGTGGTGTCGTCTATGAACAGTCACGAGTTGTCTGCTGCTGTAAACTTGCCTCTTGTGTCAGAGGCAATTTATTTTATGTGCTAAGTTCTCTATAATTGACCCATTCCACAGTGTTTTGAAGACATCTTTAGTGGTAGCTACGTGAAGACTTTACAGGACTTCTCTAGCCTCCTTCCAAAATTATGATGTGTTGGCTTTAGCTTTACTCACAAAGTGAGCATTGTGGTTAAATTCTCAGACTTCCCCTACTCCACTGGGAAATTATTTTCCCTATTCTGATTTTAAGAAAGAGCCAACATACTCGTTTCTAGTCTACAGATAAGATACTATCAAAAACATGTGTCCAGCACAAATCTGCAGAGGCCTTCACCATTTACATGGATGAAGGTTTTCAGAGTGAAACCAAACCAGCCTATTTAAGTGGCAGTTCAGTTTGTGCTCGCTTCCTCCGAGCTGACAAGCCAAATCTTGGAGCTCATCTGCAAGAAGCCGCCCCCCCACGCCCAGCTGCGGACTCCATTATGTTTACCAGATAACTTCTCCCCCACTAACACATTTGTATTGATCTCCCCTTATCGGTGTGCAACTCGACTTCCATATTGCCACCCCTGGCAGAGGAAGCTCCCGGCCTGTCCCTCCGCAGACACCGAGCTGACCGGCACACGCTTGGAAAACACATCTCCGGCTCCATTTTTTTTTTTTTTTTTTTGCGAGCGGGCCTGCCCCACCGCTCTGCCTCGCACCCAGGCACTGGTCTCCCCTCATTGAGGACTACCAGGCTGCGACAGGGCAGTTTTTACCACCAACCCCCACCCCGCTCCAGAGGTCCCTTCCTCTCCCCCCGCCCGAGCTCCCCGCTTCGGGCTGCCCATCCTCCG